ATGAACTGGGTTCACAATGGTAAGATTGCATGTAATCAGCTATTAGGTTTTGTATGATTGGGGTTTAGTTTGTCTTGAGTGAGTAAGCAAAGGAATTATATATAAGTATTTATCACATTAACACGTTATGAGTGTGTACAATGTAGGATGTAAGGGAAATGGATTTGGTAAGAATTAGGCACGTTTGGTAGGATTCAAGGCAATCCATAGAATATCTATATTATAATAATTAGAAAATCTATTTCTATTTTGGTTATTGTTGGCTAGAACTTTTCCTTATCTCTAAAAAATTATCTCCAATACTCTAGTGTTGTTATAAAATAATCTTTAATATATAATAGAGAGAATAAAAAAATAAAAATAGTATGTAAGTTTTTCGCTCATTTTTTTCCTTTATTACCAATGTAGGATCTTTTTTTTTTCAAATTTTGGGAGAATCCCGCCCATGGTTCTTATTCAAATTTTTTATTTTTTTTTTTAAAATTAAATTCAAATATTTAAATGAAAGATTACAAGCAGATATTTTGGGTAGATTCCATTTTATCTTAACTTACATATAAAAACATTCCTAACAATGAATTAATATCATATTTTTAATCCATGTTAACTAATCGGGTATTTTAAGATATATGTAATATAATATTTTATTTAATTAATTATACAATTATTCTTACGGATATAGTTACTAAAATATTAATTATTTTAGAAAATTTTTAAAAATAAATTTGAATTATCATAACTTTTACTTTATATGAAATTTAAAATTACATATATTAATTTATTAACAAATATTTACTATTTATTTTTTCCTTATGTGATATAATCTAAATTGGGTATTAAATTTTTAAATTCAAGCATTTAAAAGAAAAGATCCTAAACAGATATTTTGGGTAAATTTTATTTTATCTTGATTTTCATATAATCACATTCTTAACAAACTAATTAATATTATATCTTTTATCTACATTATGTAGCCAATTTTTTATGATATAACTAATATAATATCTTAACTAATTAATCATTTATCTATCCGGATTTATCTCTCTAACAAACTTGCCAATTTTTTTTTTTTAAATTAGAATGGTATGATTATTCTTACGGAGATACTTACCAATATATTAAACATTTAGAAACCTTTTTTTTTTTAAAAAAAAACTGAGTTATCACTCCTTTTAATTTATTTGAAATTCTAAGTTATATTGTCAAATATATTATTATTTACCTTTTTTACGTGAAAATGTTTATTATTTATTATCTAAGTGTTAAATATTATTGATTTATCTCTTTAATAAATATTTATTATTTATTTTTTTCCTTACCTAATATAATCTAAATGTGGTTATTAGATTTTTAAATTCAGACATTTAAAGGAAAAGATCACAGGTAGATTTTTTGAACAAAATTTATTTCATCTTGATTTTCATATAATCACATTCCTAACAAACTAATTACTATTATATTTTTTATTTACATTATCTAACTAATTTTTTATGATATAATTATTATAATATGTTAACTAATTAATCAATTACCTAATCGGAATTATGTCCCTAACAAACTTGCCATTTTTTTATAAAATTAAACTGGTATGATTATTCTTACGGAGATATTTAAAATTATATTAA